TCCTCCTTCACTTTCTCCCTGGACTGTGCCCATCAGGGGGTGGGTGTGTGTGTCCTTTTTCCTTGCAAAGGCCCTGCAGTGCTCCAGCCTGCCCCAGACCTGTCCCCAGCTGCTTTGCTCAGGTTTAAGGCTGAGCAGACAGCCCTGGGCATGTAGAGGACAATGACAGGGTTGGGACTGAGAGGACCCAGCCTGCCTGATGTAAGAGAATCTCCCTGACATCTATGGCAGTTGTGCCCCTACAGCCCTCCAAACACTTCTGAAAATTTTCCCTGAAAGGGAATGGGTCCAGAGCATAGAGACACATTTCTGAAGAATCCAACATGATGAAGTACCTCAGTGTTTGCACAGTGGGTCATTCAGAGCTAACATTTACCCAGATTTCCCAGCGGGAAAGGAGGAAGAAGCAAACTATATAACCTAACAAATGTCTTTTTTAACACTCACAGCTTCCTCAAAAAAAAATGTCTTTAGGAATTCACCCATCCAGGTTTTACCTGCCTCGGACTTAACCATCACTTCTCCCTCTCCCGGGATGCTGGTGGGAATGCTGAGCCCAGAGCTGGCCAGGCTGGTGGCCAGCACTGTCCCAGGCCCACTCTTCCTGCTCAGGGCAGGGATGCTTTATTTGCCTTTCGTGCCTGTGTGATCTGAATCACTCCTTTGTCTTTCTTCCTAAGGATTCACTTAAAGAGAAGCGTCCCACGGCCACCTCCATGGCACGGGAGGGGAGAGGCTGGTGCCACCGTGTTAAAGCTGCCCCAGCCTCACATCACCAGCATGGATAAAAACCACCCAGCCCTCACTGGGTGGACTTCAGGCCCCTGTCTTCTTCTTCTCTCCAGGACAGTATTTACCCACAGCGACATCCAGGGCTGATGCTACCCTGAAATGTCTGTGTTGATACTGCTGTTGGTGGGATGTTTTGTGTCTGGAGCTCCCTTTTCTCATTTAGCTGGTGCTGCTCTGGTAGCACATTAGTTCTCTGTCACTTGGGATCACCCAGCAGACACCCCACCCCGGGCATCTGGGGCACTCCATTGCAGAGCTGGCTTAAGTCTGGCATCTCCCTGGAGCCGGGAACCTCATGGAACAGCACCTGCCAGAGGCTGTGGGAGCCAGAGGGGTGTTCCCGTGAGGAGCAGTGCAGTCCAAGGATCCCCAAAACCCCTGTGAGAGCTCTGTCTGTTGCTCACCGTCACAGGAAGGAGCAGGGAGGTGGTTGGCAGTGAGATGGGGCCATGCCCGGATCTGCTCCCCGAGATGGGCAGAAGGTGCCAGCGGCGGCGGCGCTCGCCTTGCCACGGCAGGGAAGCTGTGCCATGCTGGGGCCTTCTGGGCCACCCGGCGTGTGGGGCCTTGTCTGGATGATGGTTTCAGGATTTCTCTAAGGAGGGGTGTACCCGGGTGGCAGGAGCCAGTGGGAAGTGGAGAAGAAGGAGTGGGAAGAAACTGTAGAGGCTTTTTGGGCACGGTCACCAGAGTTCCCTGGCCATGGGGCCAGGCTGTCCCCATAAGGATCGGGCTCCCTGTGGGGCCGTGAGACTTGGGAGGCAGCTGCTGCAGGTGCTAAAATCGGGCGCCTGTCACTTGCCAGGGCTGCAACTGTCAAGGTGACACGTGTCCGGGAGGATTGGAGCAAAGGTCACCTGAAGGTGGGGACGTGGGCTCCACCACCTTTCCGGGCATGAGGGGGACCCTGCAGGGCTCGCCCATCCCTGCCCAAGCGAGGGCAGGAGGGAGGCAGGGGAGGACACGGGAGAGGGGACGCAGCAGATGCCTTTCGTCACCCGGGCAAGGGGCATGTGTGTGGGCTGGGGGAAGGGGTGCCTGGGCGTGTGGGTGCATTTATTGCCTCTTCCCGCCAGCACCGGCTCCCTGTGCACACACGGGTGGCAGGGACCCAAGGGCACAGCCCACAGCTCGCTGGACTTTTACCCTGCTGTGCAAACAGGCAGGCGCCAGATTAGGGTATCAGTTGGAATTTCATCCTGTCAACGGCACCCGCAGCTTCTCTGGGCGGGTGATGGAGCATCTTCCCTCTGGCCTGGCCCCTGGCCCACCCACGGGCACGCCGCTGCAGCAGGCAATTTTGGGAGAAGCATATTTCACCACCCCCCAGGAGTCTCAAACTTCCCCCTTGCAGGTGATGGGGATGCCCAGGGCTGGGCTGCCAGCACCCCGTCCCCTGCCAGGGCAGGATCCCACTGGCCAGTCTCCATGTGGCAAAGACAAAATTGGATGTCAAAGACAGGCAAAGCCCCGTGAGGGAGGAGGACGCCTGTGGAGGAGCCAGTTGCTGGCCTGGGGAACCGTGTTGGAGTCTCAGCACAGAAGTGGCCCCAGTTTCCACAGTCCAGCCCAGTTCTTTGGGCAGGTGTCCTAGCCAGTCCCATCCCTTTTCCCATACAGTACCAGCCCTGTTTCCTTTGCCTCCCCTGGCATGTTTTAGCTCCCAATGCCCCACATCCCCTTGCAGGGGTGCAGGGAGACACTGGTCCCATGCCATGGGCAGCTCAGGCATGGCCCTGGTGAGCACAGTGTCTCCAGGGTGCTGCAGTAGGTGCACTGGGAGGTGGCACTGTTGCAAAATCAGGAGAAAACCCTTTGCTTTGTCCCTCTCTCTGCAATGCAACCTCATCCTGCTCCTTGTTCCTCCACCCATGAGGACTTTATCCTTCATTAGGTATCCCTCCATAGCCACCTGCCCTGCCTGGGCACCTCAACACATATGCCCCCACCTCTTCCCATGCAATGCTTGGCATGTTTTGGGGCCAGAAGAGCCATTTTGGGCAGGGATTTGAGGGCAGCCCCTCGCTCAGTGCCCTGCAGGACCATGGGGACATGGCTGGGATGGAGAGAGGAGAGTGTGGGGCACCGATGCCAGCTGTCCTAGGCACTATCTCACATCCTCGTTCTCTGTTTGCTCTTCTTGGACAAGGAGGATATTCAGCCCGTCAACAGCCATAAAACGAGATTAGAGGCCAGGAGGCGCCAATGGGAGGTGGCCACGTCTGTGGGCAGCTGGCCTTGTTCTTTGGCCTCTGCCAGCCCAAGCTTGGCCTCACCCTTTCCCTGGCTGCCCCCAGGGCTGTGAGTTTGCAGCTGCTGGGTCACCCTGCACGACCAGCCTTCTGGGTGGCAAAGGGGTGCTGCAGTGCCAGGCCATGCCATGCTGTGCCAGCAATGCCCCTGCGGGACGGGCACACCCAGGGGCAAGGCTGCTGCCTCAAGACATCCTTCTGCACTGGTTTTGGTGGGGCAGGGCAGGAACCCTCACTCCCCACACCAGCTGTGCTCATGGGCATGAGCACCAGTGCCACCCCAGAGGTGACATCGCTCCGCTGCCGCGGCACCAGAGGCTGGGTAGAGACAGCAACAAACCCACGGCACGCAGGATTCCTGCTCGCTTTTATTTTCATCGATGCCTAAAAAATAAAAAGGAAAACCAGTTCTGCCTTATATACACAAAAACGGAGCCAAAGTCCTGAGCCAATGCAAACACTCGTCCTCGCCACCGAGCGCAGCTGGCAGCCGTGGCCAAGGGACGTGCCACCGGTCCCCACCGGAGGGAGACCCAAATCCTACAGGAGCTGGAGTGGGGTGGCAGGCTCAGAGGGATGGCAGAGACTCACTTGTAAAAGCCACGGCATGCCTGGGCACCTTGTTTCCTGGGCCACAAGGGTCTGGGAGCGGTGTGAGGCTGGTGGCAGACAGGGTGGCCGAGGGATGGCATGCACAAGCAGCGTCTGGTGCAGTGTAAGGAAGGCTCAGCCAGGCACTCTGCGGGCACCAAGGGACGTGTCTGCTGCTCTGCCTTTCTGGAGCTTGGAAAGATGGTGCTTGGAATGCACCATATGATGCCCATGCACCTTCATCCCTGTCTTGGTCATGGGAAGCTGCAGCCCAGGAGCATCTGGAGCAGCCCTGAGCAGGAGCCACAGACCCTTCTGTGTCCCAGCCATGCCCAGCTGGCCCTCAGGGCATCTGAAACTGGGCTGTAAGTTAACCCGGGCCAATACAGTGGTCAGGACTTAGGATGAAGGGATATTTCATTTCCAGTTCACCAGAAGGAGAAGACAGGTATCAGTTACTGGCCTAGTGTGTACAGTGGGCAAGAGGTGGTGTGGTGCACAGAGGAGGGAGGAGACAGGGGGAACAAAACCTGGAGTCCTTTGGGTTTTGAAGAAAACAGGAAAATCCCACTTCTCTTTCTGGAAACCACCTCTCCATCACCTGAGACCAGAGCATGGGCTGTCTCTTCCCCTGCCTGGGACAGACCATGTCCACCCCGGCAGCAGCTCCCTGTGCCCGCGGCGGCTGTGCTGGACACTGCTGGAGCAGCTTGGGGATACGGGTAGGGATGTGCAGGGACTCTTGCCAAGGATGTTCCCCAGCTCACCACCATCGCTGTGGTTCATAGGAGTCCCCTCTCAGGTCCTACAGCTGAGGGTCCTGCCTGGCTCCCAGAGTCCAACTCACTCTGTCTTTGGCACCCCGCTTCCTGGCACGGCAGATCCAGGAGACCAGCTCAGTGGAAATTTGTTTTGCCTTGAGTCCAGCCAGGTCTTTTTTTCCAATTCAGTCTTGTTCAAACTGTCCCAAAAGCACCAGGCAGCTGGATCACCAGGAGGCTCAAAGGAGCATCCTACCATCTCCACCTGAAGCACCATAGCAAAGCCATCCTCCACCCCATCTCCCCTTCCTTCTGCTGACATTAAGACCTTGCTCTGGGCTACTAATAACGGAGACCAAACCGGTGCACGTTTCCTACAGGAGAGTGATACTACCTAACCTATGGCCTTTACACAGGGGAGAGAGCCCACCAACCCCTTGGGAAGGTCCTGGTGCCACTTCACCCAGCCTCGCTGTCCACCTCGTTGGTCCAGCCAGGGATCATCCTGTCTTTGGGAAGGGGCTGTCACTCTTCAGAGCACAGGGACCGGCTGGGCTCTGCTGCATAGTGCTTATCTCTGGGTGTCTGTAGCTGGTGGAGGGGGCTAAGGCATGAATTCTTCCTTGATCGTCAGTGGAGAGGAGGAGACGAGGCTCGGGGCACTGCTGCTGCAGAGGCCTCCGATGGGTCCCAGCGTGCCAACAGCTGGGGGGGTCGGCGCGGTGGTGCTGGTGGGCTGGCTTTGCTGCTGCATCTTCTTTTTGTTCACCTTCCTCTCCTTTGCCCTCCTATTTTGAAACCAGATTTTCACCTGCGTAAAGACAAAGACGGTGATGTAGAGGTGGGGATGGGTGCGGCCCAGGATGGCAACACTCAATGTCCTCATGGGGCAGGGAGAGCATCCTGGAGTTTGGAAGAGAAGGGAGATCTGTGGAGCAAGGTGTGGCCTTGCTGTCTGGGCGGGAGGCCTCCCCCCCCCCGGCCCCACCTCCTCCTCGGTGGTGGAGTTGCCGGGCGAAAAACGCGTGGTGACCCCGAGGGCTGCAGCCAGCTCGGTCTGGCGGCGGATGGTGATGTAGCGGCTGTAGTGAAACTCCTTCTCCAGCTCCAGGCGCTGGTGGTCTGTGTACACCACCCGGTACTTGTCTTTCGTCCTGGTCTTGCCTGGAAGAGGAAGCAGAGCAGATGTGAGCCAAGAGGGGGTGAAGAGAAGCGGCGGAGGGGTAGGAGCAACCCCAAGGGCATGGAGGAGATACACAAGCCCCAGTGGAGACCTCATGGCAGGGACCTGTGGAAATGAGCCATGAGGTGCCTATCAGACCGAATGCCCATCCTGGGTGGCACCAAGGTATTTCTCTGTGTTGGAAAGTACCTTGCCGTTGGGGAAATTGCTTGGTGGAAGGAGCAGGAGGGACTCAGAGGCATCCTGAGAGGATGGAACATAAATCCCACGTGCCATGGCATACTGTCCCTGAGAGGAGCAGAGCTGCGAGCCCTGCAGTGGGCTGAGGAGAAGTTGTTTTCAAAAAGATAGCCTGGCATGGCTGAGGGAAGCCCAGCTCTGTTCCAGAAAGCCCAAAACCAAGGTGCCATCAAGGCATGTGGATCAGGACAGGGGAAAGATGAAAAACCCAGGAATGATATCGTTTCTTTGCCACCAAGAGGGTTTTTTTCCTTCTTCCTGTGCTGGGCTAAGACAGAGGGCATTGCTAATTCATTTGGTGCAGTCTTTGCACTGGAGAAAACCCACACGCTGCCCAAGCACTCCTGGGGGCTGGCTGCACAGGCCAGAAGTGTTTGGCCAAAGCCAGGCCAAATGTCACCTGGACCCCCGTGGATATGGACAGAGCTCAGGGCCACGGAGCACCACAACTCTGTGCACACAGACACACGTCCCACAGGCCTGAAAATGACACCTGCTGCTTCCTAGCAGAGAAACACAGCCAACAGCAGCCCAGCCATCCTCCTCCCCAGCTCCTCTGTTAGCCCAGGTACACACGGGAGAGCTGGAGCTGTGAGCAGCAGCCAAGGAAGGATGCCCATGTCTGGCAGTTTGCTGACAAGTCCTTGGTGCTTTCCTCTGCAGAAGACCCACGGGCAGGGAATAAACACAGCTGTGGATTTTTGCTTCTCCACCCAAAATAACAAAATCCTGTTCCAGGGTGTCGTGCTTTCAGCTGAGCAGCCGTGGTCCTTCCAGCTGGGGACTCAGCCGTTTGTTTGCTTGGCAGACACATTTGCACATCTCCTGAATTTCTGTGGCTGGGAAGAGGCAGGAGCAAGCCCAGAACAGCTCCATGGATTTCCCCAGGGCTGCCCTGGGTGTACCAGTGTGGACAAATACTGCCCATCACTGTGGCAGATGTGCAGGGAGGGATTTTTAGTGACCCAGCAACCCATATAACCTTGCTTGCAGGCTGCTTCCCCCAGGAGAGGGGATCTGTATCTACGTGCTATCCTGTTCAGACATTCCCCCGATGAGCTCTTGGCACATCAGCCAGTTTGGGCCAAATTGGATGGACATTGAGAAGCAGCAGCAATATTATTACATTCTGACCATCCTAGTGAAAGCAGGAGTTGGGCACAGAGCAGAACTATGCTTCAGAGACTCCAGAGTGGACTCAACCCTAATCAGAGAACAGAGAATCTCAAACCCCCAGGCCTCAGGCTGCAAATACCTTTTCCAACCAACTCAATTTTCTTTTTAAAGATGTTTCTCCCCTAATTCCCCATTGCAAGGAGATGGAGACCTTCTTAAGCCACTTCTTATACTGAAAGATAAATTTAAGAGTGCCAGAGACAGGACAACCCACGACCAAAGTATGCTGCAAGTGGGAGAGGGGCTCCCTCAGGGTCACTTCCCTCGCAGAATCGCAGGCAGCTGGTTTTCTGCTAAATAAGCAACAACCAATAAAGGTCCAGCTCCTGCCATCAGCCATGGACAAAACCACACGTGGAGGCACATGAGTGTGTGTGCACACCCCTGGGTGCACATGGGAGCCAGGGTGGGCACAGGAGGCATCTCTCCTGGCTGGGACTTGACCCCAGCAGCCCCACAACACAAGTTAGCACCCAATTTTCATGACTGTCACTCTTGGTGTCCTCCTGCTATTGTTTCTGGAGGTGCTGGTAGTATGGGCTCAACATAACATGAGCCCAAAGGTCCCAGCATGGTCACCAAGAAGGATTAAAGCTCTCCAGTGATCCATGGAGGAGGGCAGGAGCACAGCAAGGCTCCTCCTAGCACCAGGGCTGGGCTTTAACCACTGAGTCGTGTTTGAGGGATGTGCTGAATTCAGTCACTGCTCTAGAGAGAGGGAGCCCAGCTCACCCCAGGGCTGTTTGGAAACAGACATCTAATCCCTCCTCACAAACCCACCTCTGGCCACACAAGGTGACTCTGCAGGTAAAAACAGGGTGAAAAAGGTAACTGGATTGAGCAAGATGTGTATGGAGATGTCTGGAGACATGTGGCTGAACCACAGCCCTTGGGTGTGCAGGTGTCTAGGGCAGCATCACAGCATCTCTGGCCCTTCATCTTCATCTCCTCTCTGGCACCCACGGGCTGTGGTGGCTCTGGACAAAGCTGGCCACAGCTCAGTGCTGGGCTGGAGCCAGGACCCCACGCTGTCCCCTGGCCCTCCCACAGCCTCTGCCCTCCTCTCCACCCCCCAGGTGAAGGGTTCCTCAGCAGAAGAGGGAACCCTGCACCCCAGCCCAGGAGGGACCTGTGCTGAATGTGCAAACACAGCGATTCCCAGGGAGTTACAGAATAAACCAGATGTGCGGGCAGAGATTTATTCAAGGTTTAGCAGCTCCATGAGAAAATGAGCTCTCCCTTCCTGCTCCAGGCTTGGGGATTCCTACAAGTGTTTTTCTTTCTCATATAAATTTATCTTTCTTTTTCTTTTTATTTGAAAGCAAAAAGCTTTCTGAAGAGATAATGACTTGAAAATGATATTTGAAATATTGCTATTGGGATAGCACTGCTTGCAGAAAAAAACAGCTGGAAAGCAAAGGAATTGACAGACAAAGTGAAAAAAAAGTGATATAAAGAATAAAGAAATAAGGCGGCTTGTGAATACCACAT